TGTTCCGATGATTAATGGATGTCTGCGGCTGTTTCTCTTCAATTTGAGTGGTGCCACATCAGCAAATGAAGGTCTCGAAAGCTTTCTTTTCCATATGAGTAAGGCTGGGTTTACTCAGATGTTGCAGCTCTTTCCCATTCCTATTTTGAGAGCCTTTTAGCCTAAACGGACTGTTCCTAAAGGTGCACGGTAATGTACCAAACTGTTTCTTTGCTATTCATAAGGTTTTCCCTGGCCAATTCTTTGAGAAGTGGACGGCCTCTTCCTTCTTCCTAGTCTGTCTCAGTCTATAAGCTGGGCTGTTACCTGTGCACCAGGTGCATCTCGCTGGGTTTTAAACACCAGAGGCTAAGCCTCAAAACTCACGTCTGCATGTCACCACAGTAGGACAAACCGACAGACAAGTTTGTCTTGCTGTTGGAGACCTCTCGTTATCACCCCCACCTGGGTCCCTGTGGCTGACTGTTCCTCTGTCTGGCTTCCTGGCTTTTAATCCCCTTTCTCTGGCTCTTCTGGCCTGCTGCTTTGGGCATCCCCGAGTTGTCCCTGGGGCTGACTGCTCCTATGTGCGGGTTCCTGGCTTTTATCCTCTTCCTCCTGCTCTTCCAGCCTGCTACTCTGGGCGGGCCTGAGTTTCCTCTCCTCACCTAATCCCTTCGGCTGATTGCTCTCTCTCTGGCTTCCTGGCTTTTAATCCCCTTTCTCCTGCTCTTCCGGCCTGCTACTTTGGGCGTCCCTGAGTTGTCTCTCCTCACCTGTAACCCTGGGGCTGAGTGCTCTTCTGTCCGGGTTCCTGGCTTTTATCCCCCTGTTAGGGACTCAATTATATCCCCCAAAATATGTTAGAACTCTGTACCTGTGGATGTGATCTGGTTTGGGAACAGGGTTCTTTGTCAGGTTACTGAGGCCGCACCAGTGCAGGGCATGAGTTCTAACCTGAGTTCTAAGGACCTAACCTGAGTTCTAAGGAGCAGCACAGAGACACACAGCAAACAGAAGTGGAGATGCCACGTGGAGACCACCAAGGAACAGAAATTGCAGACAGACAAGACTTTTCCCCCAGAGCAGACAGAGAACGCCCCCTCTGGGGGCCCTGAATCTGGACTTCTGGCTTCCTGCACTATGAGAACATAAATGTCTGTTCGTTAAAGCCATCACTTGTGGTATTTCTGTTATAGCAGTCTAGAACACTGAGACCTTCCAGAGTCTGTGACCACATCCTGTCCCCTCTGCGGATGTCCATCAGGTAAGGAGAGCAAGAAGGGTGATGAAAACTCGAGGTCCGCCATCTGGAATGACCAGGATGCAGCTGGGCTGAGGGAATGCTTGCAGGGGCCCGTGAGGGTGCAGAGAGAGAAGTGTCCTTGGCCACCATGTCCTAACACAGAGCTGGCGCCAGGGACTCTGCTGGACCAACAAGGCTGGGAACATCAGAGCCGGCCCACAGGGAAGCAAGCGTGGGGCTGCTGGCCTCAAGTGCTAAGCAGCACTCCCCAGAGACGTGGTGGTTAGGTGCCATCGAGGCAGTCGTAACACACAGCAACCTCATGCAGAACAGAAGGACACACTGCCGGATCCTGCGCCAGCCTCACAATCCTTGCTGTGCCTGAGTCCCTCGTGTCACTCTATCTCCTTGAGTGTCTTCCTCCTTTCCACTGACCCTCTGCTCACCAAGCATGATATCCTTCCCTAGGGACTGGGCCCTCCTGATAACATGCCCAAGATGAAGTCTCGCCATCTTCATTTATAAGGAGCACTCTGGCTGTACTTCCTCCAAGACAGATTTGTTTGTTCTTCTAGCAATCTTTCATACATTCAGCATTCTTCATCAATGCCACAATTCAAATGTATCAATTCTTCTGTGGTTTTCCTTGTTCATTATCCAGCTCTCACATGCACATGAGAAGATTGAAAACACCATGACTTGAATCAGGCTCACCTTAGTCTTCAAAGTGACATCTTTGTTCTTCCTGCCCAAGGAGCTCTGGTGGCACGGTGCCTAAGGCATTTGACTGATAACCGGAAGGTTGGTGGTTCAAACCCACTAGCTGCTCTGTGGAAGGCAGATGGGACAATCTACTTCTGTGAAGATTCACCACTTTGGAAACCCAATGGGGGTTGCTATGAGTTGGAATTGACTTGATGGCAAGAGGTACGAGCTAGGAGTCATCAAACTGTCAACCAAGCCAAAGGGGCACCCTGCACAGGCCCCATGCACCAGGACCCCAGGCAGCTGCCAGGGAGGTCAGGGGGCCAGGGGTTCAGCTTTGGGATGTCTTTTGGGATGTCTTGGACCTGTGGTGTACACAGGTCCCCAGCTGGTTAGGTCATTCAACACTCAACACTGCTCATTTCCCCTCATCCAGGTCTCCCCAGTCACTGAACTGTTATGTTTAGTTCTGGAACATTCTCTGTGGTGGGGCCATCCTGTGCACTGTAAGGTGTTGAGCGGCATCCCTGGCTTCTACCCACTCGATGCCAGTAGCACCCTCCTCCCAGTTGTGACAATCACAAATGTCCCCTGAGATCAGAGTCACCCTAGAGTACCCTAATCTTTGATTGTCAGCCTTTTCTATATGTTTTAGAGCAAAAAAGGCTGAGAAACACCAGTGCAGAGGCCCTTCCTTGGGCAAGGAAATGGGGTACAAAGGCCCACTGAGCTAGTTAATGAGGAAAGCCCAGAGCTCCTGAACCAGAGCCCCTTTCAGTGCTCGGAAGGGGCCATGAATGGCACCTGGAACACCCTTCCCAGCTGCCCTCCCAATGCCTCCCCAGCCCCAGGCTGGCCTTGCTCACCCTCGGCCCACCGGTAGGTGAAGGCAGGATCGGAGGTCTGCACGGCTGACTCCTTCACGATCACTCTCGTCACATGTCGGCCCCACTTTCTGCTGGCCTTGGGGGTTTGTGGGGTACGGTCCCTTTCCTGACTCAAAGAGAATTCCGAAAGGGCTTCCAACGTCCTGTCAAGAGACTCCTCAGAGCAGCCTGTGGGCCCGGAGGCGGTCAGGCCTGGTGATGCCTCAAAGTCATCCGAGTAGGCTGGGCTCACAGTGGGGAGGCCTTCTTGGCTGGCCGAGGATGCCAAGCTCACAGTGCTTGCAGAGGTGTCTCGGGACAGTGGCAGCTGGCTGGATGTAGCCCCCCACTTGGTGTTCAGACTCTCATAGACCATGCTCTCTGTAGGGGGACCCTCCTCGCTGTCTGAGGATGCCATACTCCGGGCCTGGGTGCATCTTGGTGACCCCTGCCTGTTGGGGGCTTCTGCCCATGAGCGTAGGCTGGACCGCTTTTCCTGCTGAGCACCTTCTCCCTGAAACGGAGAATGGCAGCAGGAATGACAGCACTCTACACCAGCAGCCACTCAATTATCACAGCGCCTGCAGGACAGGACACCTGCTGGTCCCAGCAGGGGCGAGGGCACAGGGCCCCTGTGAGGTGTGGGTAGGAGGGGTCAATCGTGGACAGGCCCGTAGAACCCTCTTGGCACATATATCACATGACCACAGTGGCGCCATGCACAATGAGGCAGGGCACGGACAAGACCTGTTGAAGTATATTACGAAGCGTGCACCCGACAGTATGGGGTTACCAACATGCAAGAACCCTGGCAGCACCCTTGGAGGAGTGTGTGCGGGCACAATCGCCGCTGGACACGCTTTAGGGAGTGCCATGTGGGGTAAGCTAATCAACCAGGTGATGGTGCATCACCTAAGGCAGGGTTTCTCCCCCTTGGCACTGCTGACGTCTGGGCTGGATCATTCTCTGTGGAGGGGCCGTTCTGGGCACTGCAGGGTGCTGACCAGCCTCCCTGGCCTCCGCTCACTTGATGCCAGCAGTGGTGACAGCCAAAAATGTCTCCCCTGGGGGCAAAGTCAACCCCAGCTGAGAACCACAAGAATGAACAGATAAGGAGCTCTGGTGGCACAGTGGTTAAAGCAGCCAACTGTAACCAAAAGGTCAGTGGTTCAAACCCATGAGCTCCTCTGTGACAGAAAGATGAGGTGGTCTATTTCCGTAAAGATTTTCAGCCTTGCAAACTCTATGGGGCAGTGCTACTTTGTCCTCTAGGGTTGCTATGCGTAGAAACTGACTCAATGGCAGTGGGTTTTTTTAGAGGGAATAGTTAGATGACAGATAGATAAACAGATAGATAACAGATAGGGTGTCTCTCAGCCTCAACACTGTTCATATTTGGTCCCCGATCATTCTCTGAGGTGGAGCCATCCTGTGCACTGTAGACTGTTGAGTAGCCTCCCTGACCTCCACCCACCAGATGCCAGTAATACCCCCTCTCCTGGTTGTGATAACCAAAAATGTCCCCAGACGTTGCCCAGTGTCCTGGGGGGCAGAATCACCCCCGTTGAGACTGACTTGACCCCTGCCCTAGATGAAGCAGGCATTTCCCCAAAGCCATCTGTAATTGATAGTTCACTGTACTCACTTCCTGATCCAGCTCTGACTTCTCACTGACGGCTGGAGCCAAGTCATCAAGGGACAGGAGATTGATTCTGAAATCTGCAGTGAAAAAATGAGTGTGATGACGTTGTTCACGTACTCACTCCCTGAGCCGTAGGCACAGGGGATGGAGAGAACCAGGGGCCAGCACACTTTCTCTGTAAAGCACCAGAGGGTCAAGATTTCCAGGCAGTGTCTGCTCGACCCTGCAGAGTGCAACCACAGCTACAAACAGAAGCTCATGAGCAGGCGGGACTGTGTGCTAATAAAATGTCATTTACACAAACAGATGGTCACAGAGGCAGTAGGAAGTGTGGTGATAAGTTCCTGGGGTACTGGGTTTGGCCTGGGAGAGGGGGACAGGGAAGTGTGGGGCATCTGGAGGTCCTGGGGACTGTGGTGGACATGGGCTCAGAGCTGCTTGAGTGTTCACTGAAAGCCGGTTCCAAGCCACTGAGACCTAAGATGAGTGCTGCGTGAGGGCAGGGTGAGGCCTTCCGCAGGGGATTCTACTGCCTGCGGTCATTCATCACCCTCAGAAGCAGGAGCTGTAGGACAGGGAGACCTACAGGACTCGGGGCCTCATAGCCCACAGAGGCTTCCTTGCCCTCCTCCCCAAGGCAGGCACATGAGCCAGGATGGCCTGAGCACAGCTGATGCCTGGAAGGAGGCCAAGGTGATCCACAGCCCCGGGTGCAGGGATGGGGAGGGAGCTCCCAGAGGTGGCATGCAGAAGAGAGGAGTCTGTCTGAAAAGGGCAAGCTACTCACTTGGGAAAGTCAGCTGAGTGCTGCCTACAGCTGTCTGTCCCTATAAAAGTGTCTGCCCGGCACTGTCAGTCATCAGTCGCCTGGTCTAACTTCACAAGGGAGAGAGAATTACCATCAGTATCAGCCCAAGGCTGAGCCCTCTGAGGCGGAAGTCAGACATGCTTTTGCCCTCCAACCTTTTTTTCCAACGCTGACACCAGCTGGGTTCAGTAATTCGTTGCAATGGCCACACAGAACTCACAGACCATATTCACAGGCATGGGGTTTATTGGGGAAGTAGCAGGTTACAGATCAGGATGAGAATCAGGAAGCTTGGAGGCAGTCTCCCTTCTTCAGCGGACAGCTCTCAGCTACTCTCCGGTCCTGAGGACAGGCTCCTCTCAGCCCCCTCAGGACAAGCCTGCTCTCTCGGCCCTGAGCCCAGCCTGTGCCCTGCTCAGGCAAGTGTGACAAAGCTCCTTCAGTTCTGCCGTAAAGTGCAGGAGGCATCCCACTCTGCCACCAAGCCTCCTGCCCAAAGGCAGTCAGTTTCTCATGCTGTGGGTTGGCATGGCCACTAGAGCCACCTACCTCACTCAGTGGGCCAAGAAGCCCACCACTGTCATCTCTCATTGGTCTCTTGGTTCTGCTGCCGTCTTAAGACCCAGGCCAAAATTCCCCTCACTGTGGACCTGTTCCATCTGCGATTGTCAATACAGTTCATGGGGCTTCATGCTGAGCAGATGAAGCCTCTGGGTTATCTCCCTGCCCAGCCAGGGCCAAAGCTGCGGGGAAGATTCTAGACTCCCCACTCTGGGCAGTGGTGGCCGAGGAGGACAACCCGTGTGTGCAGAGAGAACTGCTCCTTAAGGTTTTCTAGGCTGTTATCTTTACAGAAAAAGGTGGCCTGGTTGCATGGTGGTTAAGCACTTGGCTGCTAACCCAAAGATTGGCAGTTCAAACCCACCAGCTGCTCTGTGGGAGAAAGATATAGCAGTCTTCTGCTACCACAAAAATTACAGCCTTAGAAACCCCATGGGGCAGTTGTACTCTGTCCTACTGGGTCACTACGAGTCAGAATCCACTTGACAGCAGACAACAACCAATGACCTTTAGAGAAGCAGGTCGTCAGGCCTTTCTCCCGCAGAGCCACTGGATGGGTTTAAACCACCAACCTTTCAGTTAACAGCTGAGCATGTAACCATTTACAGGACCAGGGCTCCTTAGTCATAACGTCTAAATAGTAAGAAATATTTTAATCTTGACTAATTAGAGAGTTAAGTTACCTTTTCCAAATTTAAAAAGGAGACTACTAAAAGAAAAACTGAAAAGGGCTTTTTTCAGGTTACAAAAAAATATTTCCAAAACCAAACTCATTGCTGCTGAGTCAATTCTGACTCCTGGAAACCCCATGTATGCAGAGTTCCACAGGGTTTTCAGGGCTATGACCTTTAGGAAGCAGGTCACCAGGCCTGTCTTCTGAGGAACTCCTGGGTAGGTTTGAACTGTTGACCTTTTGGTTCGTAGTTGAGGGCATAACCATTTACACCACTCCTTTTTTGAGATTAATGCCCTATAATTGGTCAGGGCATTTATTGTTGTTATGCACTGTCGAGTCAGCCCTGACTCATAGCGACCCCTCCTTGGGTTTCTGAGGCTGGTATCACTACGGAAGTAGATTGCTCAACCTTTCTTTCAAGGAATAGCTGGTGGGTTTGAACCACCAGCCTTCTGGTTAGCAGTCAAGTGCCTTAGGCACTATGCTACCAGAGCTCCCCCAGGTCAGGGTTAGTAGATGAATATTTTATGGGCAGAAAAAAAATCTGACCTGTCCCCTCAACCAGGGAAGGAGACTAATGAACCAGGAGGTGACAAGGCCAGCATGCCCTCTCACAGCAGCACCCTGCAACCTCTGTGCCCCTTCCCCCACACTCTGTGCACAAGAATGTGGCTTACCATTCCTGCTGTCATCAGTGGTTTCAGAAAGTGACTCCTCTGAGGGCCTAGCCTCACTCTTGCTCCTTCTGGGGGAGGACAGGGGCTTGGGGCGCCCCATATTTGGAAGCCCTGACCTGGATGAGGTGCCTGTGACCGAGAGCACTGACGTGTGAGAGGTTGGGCCACCAGCACCAGGGATCTGTGGGGAGGATGTTCTTGAACTGAAGCGGGGAGCAGTCCCGCTGACTGATCGTGTGGCTGGTGGACGTGGCTTCTGGAATGGCTTGGGCCTGGGTAGAGACAGATCTTGTGGCCAAGCTGGGATCTGATCCGACTTTGATGGAGATAAAAGAGAGAAAATTACAAATGCAGGATGATCAAGTCCTTATCAAGCCATAAGTAGACCTGGGGCTCATGGGGTGTGTGACCATTGCCTCAGTGATTGTTTTTTCCCCTCTGCATCCCCTTTTTCTCTTCTCCTGTCATTTCTGGAGGTTGAGCTATAGCACTTAGATAACAAAATGTTGGGACTGGAAAAACATCGCAATTATTTCCTATATTGGAAATAAATCCACAATCAAAAGTATCACTTTACTTTCAGATACTAACACATGTCACAGTTTCTAAATTAGAGGCAAAGGGTTAAGGCACTCAGCTGCTAACTGAAAGGTTGGTGGTTCAAGTCCACCCAGAGGAGCCTTGGAAGAAAGGCCTGGCAATCTAATTCTGAAGATCAGCCACTGAAGGCCCCGGGGAGCAATTCTACTCTGACACACGCTCGACGGCAGTGGGGATCCTGTCTAGGAGATGAAGGTGGCAAATGCAAAAGTTTTGTTAAAAACAAATAGAAATTAAAACTTACCAAGAAGAGTTCCACTTGTTCTTTGTCACTGACATTAGTGCTGGTGAAACCCTGGTTCCTGTGTGTTTCTTTTTCTCCAGAAGACTCCACCAAGCTTCCCAGTAACTCCTTCATTTCCTCTTCATCACTGTCTGGAGAGTCAAATGTTCTAGCAGGTTTTTTCTGCTTGGGTGTTGGAAAGTTCCGTTCTTTCCCTAAACGTGCTCCACGGGGCATATTTTCAGCGGGTGGCTCTTTCTTCTTGAGGAACCTGCTGCCCTTCCGGCTATCAGTGGTGGAGTTTTCACGCACACGTTCCTGGGGAGAGTCTGTGTTCCACGGAGTTTCCGCTGCACACCTGGTGGGGACCTGATCAGCCCCCTCTGGAAGGCTGGCATCAGAGGTCTTTGGGTCAGACTCCACATCAGACAAACCCCTCTGTGCCTGGCGGTTCCTGATCTTGGTCTCTATCTGGGCCAGCTTCAGGAATGCGGCGTTCGTCCGGGTCTGGGAGGTGGTAGTCAGGGGCCAACCTGAGGAAGGCCTAGGCCCACCCTCCAGGCCAGGGCTCTCTTTCAGAAAGAGGCGTCTCTCACCCAGCATTTGGTTTCTTTTCAGGAACCTGCTCTGACTGGCTGTTATTTTGGTTAGACTCCTGCTGATCTGTAAGTTTCTGATTGCTTCCACTTTTGAATCTTCTAAGGAAATATCACTGAAGTCACCAAACATGTCATGCACAGAGCAGCTGGCCTTTCTTGCTGAAGCCATTCTAAGGTGGAAAGAGAGGTGACTTATGGTGGGAACAGCTCTATTTGTGCTGTGCATTAAGTTCTCCCAAAGGTGCCCACCGCCAGGTAGGGTCACAGCCCCCTTTGCAGTTGGGCCTTGGCCACCTTCCCTTCCAGCTAAGTGACAATGAGAAGAATGACTAGATTCTCAGCTTCAGTCCCTGCCACCGCCTATCTATTAGTGGAGGCTGGCGTGTTGCTATGATGCTGAACAGGTTTCAGCAGAGCTTCCAGACTAAGAGGGACCACGAAGAAAGGCCTGGCAATAGGCTTCTGAAAATCAGCCAAAGAAAACCTACTCTGTGAAGCACAACAGGCCAGTCCACACCGACTGTGGGGATGGCACAGGACTGGGCAGAGTTTGCTCCACTGTGTGTGAGGTCACCATGAGTCATGGCTGACCCCACGGCAGCTAACAACACAACCACCACTAACTGAGCTCCATTCAACGCCAAGTGTTAAACAAAACTCATCAACACAAGAGGTGGCACCTCTGGGGCTGGTGAGCTGGCCTGCTGCTCAGTGCTATGGAACACCTCATCTCATCCTCACAGTGCTCCTGGGAGTTGGTTACTGTCCTCCCTGCCATACAAAAGAAGCTGAGGAGACGGAAGCTCACGCGGGTAGGTTACCAGTCAAGGTCACCTGGCTGGGCAGTGTTGTGACCCCGTGTGACTAAGTAGAACTGCCCCATTGAGTTTTCTAGGCTGTAATCTTACTGGAAAAGATCACGAAGTCTTTCTCCTACGAAGCTGCTGCGTGGGTTCGAACTGCCAACCTTCCAGTTAGCAACCAAGCACTTAACTATAGCGCCATCGGGGCTCCTTGGCTGGGGAGTGGTAGAACCCAATTCAAAACCCTGGTCTGACTCAAGACCATGCTGATAACCGCTGTGCTTCTGGCCTCGCTCAACATTGCACAAACGCCCCAACAAGCCCAGCCACCTCCTACATCCAAGCATCCTCAGCTCGTTTACGACAGCTAGGCACTTGACTGCTAACCAGAAGGCTGACGGTTCAAACCCACCAGCCACTCCCCGGAAGGAAGATGGGGCAATCTACTTCCGTAGTGATACTGCCTTGGAAACCCAAGGAGGGGTCGCTACGAGTCGGGTCCGACTCGATGGCACATAACAACAACAACAATAACACTGAAATGCAATGTGTGTTCAACAAGTGCCCCAGAAAATCTTACTTCACTTAACATAATAGGACCACTGCCTTAGGGAAGGCTTGCAGGTAGACACAGCACCCTGCGCCTCAAAATATTTACAATGTACTGCATGGGCAGTACATCTGGGGAGAAGGGTGAACACTTGCATCAGATTCTCAGAGTTCCCATGAGCCCCTGTAATACATACTAGCCGCTGCAAGATCTACAAAGGTTTCAAAAGATTTTAAAGATTAAAAAAACACAGCCTGAGTGGGTGCATATGTGCTGCAGCGCCTTAGTGCTGGCATCCAGCACCCCAAAAGTCAAACAGAGACCCTTGGGTCCCCCCCCAAAAAAAACCAAACTCACTGCCATCGAGTCTGATCCAACTCATAGTGACCCCTCCTTGGGATTCCGAGGTGGTAATACTACAGAAGTAGATTGTTCAACCTTTCTTCCAATGAGCGGTTGGTGAGTTTGAACTGCCAGCCTTCTGGTTAGCAGTCAAATACCTTCAGCACTACACCACCAGAGCTCCCATCCTTGGGCCCAGCAACCCCTTATGCAGGAATTTACCTGCAAGTACTCTCTCAAAAGTGCACAGAGAAACATGTAATTGATAAAGGTCCAATATCCAAAATACATTTTGAAAACTACAACTTTTCAACAAAAGGACAAACAACCCAATTTAAAAAATTGGGCAAAGGACTTGAACAGACATTTCACCAAAGAGGATATCCAGTGGCCAATGAGCACATGAAGAGATGCTCGATGCCATTAGCCATTCACCCACCCACTGTTGAGGAGTTAATTGTGACTCACAGCTACCCTATAGGACAGAGTGGAACTGACAAAATACGATTTCCAAGGCTGTAAATCTTTATGGAAGCAGACTGCTACATCTTTCTCCCTTGGAGCACCCGGTGGGTTTGAACCACCGACCTTTCAGTTAGCAGTCGAGTACTTCAACCACTGCACCAGGGCTCCTTATTAGCTATTAAACCAAAAGAAAAAAACCAAACTCACTGCCATCAAATCAATTCCAACACATAGCAACCCCCTTTGGATTTCTGAGGTGGTAAATCTTTATGGAAGTAGATTGTCCCATCATCCTTCCACGGAGCAGCTGATAGATTTGAACCATGAACCTTCTGGTTAGCAGTCAAATGCCTTAGGCACCATGCCACCAGAACTCCTTTTTCATTAGCTATCCAAGTGATGCAAATCAAAACCAGAATGAAATACCAGTTCATCCCATTAGAATAACTTACGATAAAAAAAAAGAAAGAAAATGAAAACGTGTTGGTGACGCGGTACAGGCACTGGAACCTCATCCATCACTGCTGGTGGGAATGTAAAATGGTACAGCCACTGTGGGAAACAGCTTGGCGGTTCCTCAAAAAATTGAACGTGAAACTACTGTATGACCCAGCAACCCCACTTGGTGCAGACAGGAACGCAAACAGGAACCTGTGCACCATGTTCACAGCAGCGCTTTTCACAAGAGCCAAAAGGTAGAAGCAACCAAATGTCCATCAACAGATGACTAGAAAAGTACAATGTGGTCCATCCACACAATGGACTATTACGCAGCCATAAAGATAAAGGACACGTGCCACGACATGGATGAACCAGAAAACATCAAAACATCATGTTGAGTCAACTAAGTCAATCATAAAAGGACAAATAATGCACGATCTCACCTATATGAAATAAACAAATACCTAGAAGCCAGAACATGTTCGTGGTTACAGGAGAGGGGGAAAGGATGTTTCTGCTTAGGGGCAGTGAGCTTATGTTAATGGTGGTGGCATGATTTGGAAAAGGATAGTGAGAATAGGTACACAATGTGAAGAATGTAATCAATATCACTGAGTTGTACCTGGAGAAATGGTTGAAATATCATACATCTTGTTGTGTATATTTTCACAATTACAAAAAAAAAGGAGTGGGGGAAATGAAGATGTATTTTCAGGAAACACATGACGACATTGTCTGTACTCAGTGAAAACCTAAACTTATCCCTAGAGAACTGGTGAGGTCCAGGTGACCCATCCAGACAGTGGAAGACTACGCAGCCATTAAAAAGGAATGAACGAATCATCTATATGAGACTAAACCGTCAACATTTATGTAAAAGCAAAAATGAGAAAGTAAGGGGAGACATGTGACATTGTGAAAAATGTCACCACTGTCACTGAACAACATGTATGTAGTTGTTTTCTGGTGCCACTGAGTCAGTCAATTCCAAGTTATAGTGACCCTACGTACAAGAGAATGAAACATTGCCTGGTCCTGCGCCACCCTCATGATCCTTGCTATGCTCAAGCCCATTGGTGCAGCCACTGTGTTAATCATCTTGCTAAGGGTCTTGCCCTTGTTTGCTGACCATCTATTTTACCCAGCATGATATCCTTTTTCAGGGACTGGTCTCACCTGATAGCATGACCAAAGTACAAGATCAAAGTCTATCTGGGCTTGTAAGGAGCATTCCAGTTGTACTTCTTCCAAAACAGAACAATATACATAGAACAATATGTATAAAAATTGTTAAATAGGAACCTAATTGCTCTGTAAACCAAGAATACAAAAAAATATTTTTTAAATAGGAAAGGAACAATGGAAGAGAGTCTGGTGGGTTCTCAAAAAGTTGAACATAGAACTACCTACCATATTATCCAGCAATTACACTCGTAGGTATATATTCCAGTAGACTGAAGACATATCCACACAAAGACTTATATGCAAATGTTCGTAATAACTATTAGTCATAATAGACATAAAATGGAAACAATCCAGATGTTCATTAACTGATCAATGGATAAATAAACTGTGGTCCAGCCTCTAGCCATACAGTGGAATATTATTCAGCCATTAAAAAAAAAAAAAAAAACACGATACCAATACACACAACCTGGATGAATCTCAAACACATCATGGTAAGGGAAAGAAACCCACCGCCATCAAGTTGATCCCAACACATAGCCACCTTTATGATAGAGCAGAACTGTCTCACAGGTTTCCAAAGCTGTAAATCTTTACAGAATAGACTGTCACATCTTTCTCCCACAAAGTGGCTGGTGGTTTCCTTTTGGTTAGCAGCCCGAGGCTTTAACCACAGCACCACCAGAGCTCCTGGTGGGAAAGAAGACAGATGCCAAAGGCCACATCTTTTATTCTATCTCTATGAAACGTCCGTTTGGACAGGCCAGTCCACAGAGACAGAAAGTAGTTCAGCAGTTGTCTGGGGCTGGAGGTGGGAGGGATCTTCTTGGGGTGACGGGAAAGTTCTAAAGCTGGAGTGTGGAGCACAACTTGGTAAATTTACTAAAAATAACAGACTTGTACATTTAAAAGGAGTTCCTGGGGAGTGCAAACATTGAACATGCTCTTAGCTGCTAATTGAAAGGTGGGAGAATCGAGTCCACCCAGAGGCACCTTGGAAGAAAGGCCTGGCGATTTACTACTGAAACAACAGCCATAGAAAAGCCTATGGAGCACAGGTCTATTCTGACACACACGGGGTGGCTGGCCAGGACTCGGAGATGACTCTACACAACGAATACAAGTACATTTAAAGCCGGTAATTCCTATAGTACGTAAATGGTAGCTCAATAACGTTGCCAAAATAAATAAACCAGACTTGGAAAACACTGCCACTCCTTACACCACCCCGCCTCTTCCCCCAGACCCTGGGCCACCTGCACCAACCACAATCCTGAGTGAGGCCCAAACAGGGAAACTAAGGCTCGCCCCCGCCACCCGCAGTCGCCCTCTCAACCTCTCAACCCAGCTTCCTAAAACGCCCCCATTTCCTCCCAGTCACTCTCCTGAGCATGAGCGCCCACCTGCCCCTCCGACCTCCTCCCACGCTGTCTATCAGTGGTAGCCGCCGCCGCACTCCGGCCAGGAACCCAGGCCCGAGGGGATTGTTGCCCGGGCAACTGCGCTGGGGCGGAAGAGACTACATCTATCGGCGTGCACTGCGCTCCGAGGACCAATGGCGCGTCCGGTCACAATCGCGGGGTGTCACGGGAACGGTAGTTCTGGGGAGGGCCCGGCATGCACCACGCACGGGGGGGGAACCAATGACGCTCCAGGTCACAATCGCGGGGTGTGACGGGAGTTGTAGTTTAAGGGCAGGGCGGCGCACTGCGCGGAGGCAGCTGGGAGCAAGGGGCGGTTTTAGAGGAGGCGCGGCACCACCCCCATGGGGGCGGTTAGAGTACCGCTGTGGGCAATCTGCTTGCTGCGGTTGGTGCTGGCCACGGTGTATTTCCAGGAAGAGTTTCTGGACGGAGGTGAAAGGGGCCACGTCCGGTGGCTGGGGCGTGAGGACTTTCTACCTTGCTGCCCAACGATTGCCCAGCTGTTGGTCCTGGGCCCTTGCCTGCGGGGTTGGGGATGGCGAATCTTCGAAGTTTCCAGGCTTTGAAAGCCCCTCACCCTCCTCGTGACCCAAACTTAACAGTTTTCAGCCCTGACCAGTGTTATTTACCCACACAGAGCGCTGGAGAAACCGATGGGTGCAGTCCACCAATAATTCCCAATTCGGAAATTTTAGACTCTCGTCGGGCAAGTTTTATGGTCATAAGGAGAAAGACAAAGGTTAGTGTAAGGAATCTTGGGAAAGTAGAGGTAAATGCTGAACGCCCCTAGCAACCTTGCAAGGTAAATGTGGCAACACCTCAACGCCTGTTTCACAGTTTTACAGGCAAGGAAAGGAAAATAAGAGATAGAGAGTCTCGGAGCGTTGTTTTTATGAGCACTTGTTAGTTGCTGACCAGTGGAGTTGGACTCATAGCTATCCTACGTGGTATAGTAGAGCTGCCACGTAGGGTTTCCTGCGTTGTACTCCATGGAAGCCAATTGCCAGGTCTTTCTCCTGCAGAGTCTCTGGGTGGTTTTGAACCACCAGCCTTTCAGTTAGTAGCCAAGGTCTTGTGTGCTTAACCATTTGCACCACCATGGCTCCTTGTAGGAGCACTAGGAGTCAGAGTCAACTCGAAGGTAACTAAAAACAACAATCAGAATGAGTCCTTGGGTGATGCACACAGTTAAGTGCACAACTACTAACTGAAGAGTTGGTGATTTGAACCTACCCATTGTTAATTGCCCTGGAAGAAAGCCCTGGTGATCTAATTCGAAAAGTCACAGCCATTGAAAACTCTATGGAGCACAGGTCTGCTCTGATACACACGGGGCCACCACAAATCGACTCTATAGCAACTAGTTTGGGTTTTGGGTGGTGCAGATAGTTAAGCACTAGGCTGCTAATTGAGAGCTTGGCTGTGTGAACCTACCAGAGGTGTGTCAGAAGAAAGGCCTGGCAGTCTATTTCCAATAGTAATAATAGTAGTAATATTTCCTATTAGCCACTCAGAACCCTATAGAGCACGAGTCTACCCCGACACCCATGAGGTCACCATGAATCAAAGTTGACTCAACAGCAATTTTTTTTTTTTTAAATTTCACGGGACTTGTCAAAAGACAGGGATTTCTACTTGGACAACTCCTCTGAATCATTTGGGTTTTTCTATAATCTTTTCCCTTTTGTTTGAAGTCCTGAGAGTCTGTGCATTTCATTCATTCCTTGGGCACATAGCCACTGAGGACAGCCAGTAAAAGGGCAGGCTCCTTCCCTCTTGGCCTTCTAGGACCATGACTTTGAAGCTCTGAATTGAAGGATGAATAGAATTTACCCTCAATGAGATTGTGTGTGTGTTTTTGGGGGGGGGGGGTTTGCTGAGAGAAGGTGAGGGGTAGCAGAGGCAGAGACTTAGTTGGCCTTGGGAGTTGTCTAGATGATGGGTAGTATGGGAGAGGGAGGGGTAAATCCTTGGGTAAACTGGTATTAGGGGGAGGAGAATGGAGCAGAGAGAAAGGGGTGGCAATAGGAAGCTGTTACTAGTTTATGTTTGGAGTTTGGGACATACTGATCTCTGGGTGGCACAGATTGTGCTTGACTACTGGCCGGAAGGGTTGGCAGTTCAAACCCACCCAACAGCCATTGAGTACCAACTCATGGCGACCTCATGCACAATGGAACAAAACACTGCCCAGTCCTGAGCCATCCCCATGATTAGTTGTGGATCAGACCACTGTGATCCAGAGTTTTCATGGGCTTATTTTCAGAAGTCAGTTGCCAGGTCTTTCTTCCTAGTCTGTCTTAGTCTGGAAACTCTGCTGGAATCCTAGCAACCTGCAGCCCACTGAGGGTAGTGGCTGCACATGAGGTGGGTTGGCTGGGAGTGGAACCCGGGTCTCCTGTGTAGAAAGTAAGAATTGTATCACTGAGCCACAAAAACCCTCCACACTTACAGCGTAACGTTGTTGTTGTTATGTGCCATTAAGTCGGACCCAACTCATAGCAACCCCTCCTTGGGTTTCTAAGGTGGTTCACTATGGAAGTAGATTGCCCAACCTTCCTCCGAGGAGTGGCTGCTGGTTTTAAACTGCCAGCCTTCTGGTTAGCAGTCAGTTGCCTTAGGCACTACCCCACCAGAGCTCCTTAAAGCATAACAGTGCTGTATTAAGTACAAAAATGTCCAGATAAGTGAACTGAAAGCTCTGTGGAAGCAGAGCGGCAGTGAGTAGTCTGCCCGTTGGGGATTATCATTTTGGGAGTCGAATAGGTGCATTACTGAAGAAGAAAGGCCTGGTGATCTACTTCCATAACAATTACAGCCACGAAAACACAACGGAGCAGTTCTACTCTCTAACACATGGGGTCCTCTGAGTCGGAATCTACTCAACAGCAACGGGTTGTTTTTTATGACGTTTGTTAGGGGGTACGGGGAATGACATCATTTAACTTTCCTGAGTCACTAAGGACAGGGGCATCCTAATACTTCATTAATACTTTTTTTTGAAAGGTCTGCAAACCACCCAGAATGGCCGATTCTATGCCATCTCTGCAAGGTTCAAACCGTTCAGCAATAAAGGGAAGACCCTGGTCATTCAGTACACAGTGAAACATGAGCAGAAGATGGACTGTGGAGGGGGCTACATTAAGGTCTTCCCTGCAGATGTGGACCAGAAGAACCTGAGTGGAAAATCGCAGTACTACATAATGTTCGGTGAGTTCATGTATGCGCAGTGTAGCCATTTCTAGAGAGCTCAGAAACCCTTCCACCTGGGGGTGAGCTACAGACTAAGACTTGGCTGAAATACCTGAGGTACCACGAGGACAGCATAGGGCAGTATTGAATGGAACTGACCGAAGGGTTTTAACGCTTACCAAATCTTATTAATACCATAAAAAGACCTCTGTACTGAGGAATCCCCAAGATACTTATTCTGAGTTTCTTAAACCTTGAAGCAAAACTATCCCAATGTCATCTTGTAACTAAAAAGCAGGTTAGCAGAAATAGTGCTGACACCCGGAATGTATGCAGTCTCTCCTGACACTGCGGGTAATTGATTAAAATGTGTGCTGAAACGGAAAGGAGATAAATGGATGTAACTGGAGCAGGTGGGTTCCAGAAGCGAGGCTCTCCTTCTGAGAGGAAATCTTTAGGAAGAGATTGACTTTTAAAACATCTATCCGTGATCCAAATTTGGGAAATCATTCTTTCAAAAGCCTTTTTTGCTCATCTCCTAGTGGGGTGGCTTACAGAATTTTTCTTCCTTGTATGTTTTTCCCATGCTTCTCTGATTTTATTGTGCTCAGTAGCAGGCTTTGGACACCAGGTTGTGCTGTTGTATTTGTCAACGCTCCTGATCATAACGTGACTTAGAAATCGGAGCTTTCGAAGTAGAAAGGGTATGGAGATGGTGTGGTCCTACTCTGCCATGCTGTGGAGTGAGGGGATTTCTCCCAGTGACAGAATTAGGCAAGCAGTGCAGACCCTGACCCCCTGCACTGATTCCATCTCCTCTGCCCGCCTCCCATTTACTCTTGAATTCAAAATTGGGAATGAAGGTATCTATTTTGATTGAAAAAAGAAATTTGAATGTCTTGCTTTTGGTGGTGGTTATTACTCTCTTTAAACAGGATGGCAAAGCTATCTGGCAAAAAGAATGACCTATTGATTTAGAGATGATTTCACAAGATGAAATCACAAGTATGTGATTGAAGTGTCATTGGGTGGCACAAATGGTTTGTGCCTCAACTGCTAAGCTAAAGGTTGCGTAGTTTGGACCCACCTGGTGGCACTGCAGAAGAAAGGCCTGGTGATCTGCTTCCATAAAGTTACAGCCAAGAAAACCCTATGGAGCCAGTAATTGTATTCTATGGCACATGGGATCACCATGAGTTGGAATCTACTTGAGGGCAGCGGGTCTGCTTTTGATTGTGTTAGCCTTGGCAAACCACCACAACTAGCCACCAGAAACTCCTTTTACATATTTAGAGCATATGTTTGGTATTTCTGAATTGGGAAATGGTGGACTTCGGCAGCAAAAATGACTAAGTTTTTCCTATTATTTAAGTTTTTAAGTCAGAAGCAGTTATGCTTTAATGACACCAAGTCTGTCACTGTTAAAGCAGGGCTTCGAACCATTTCAAACTGTTTCAGTCATGGCTGATGCAATGAAGTCAGAAAAGACCTGAGTTTATAAAACGTGGTGTACTGTGATGATAACCAGAATGGAAGTGGTCATGGGTCGAAGCCCTGGAATGGGAGACTCGGAAGAGGCATAGGGAGCCCTTCCAGGAGCCTGATGCGGAGGGCTGGGTTATTGCCAGGACTGTGGAGAGTGATACACGTTCAAAGCAAGGCAGTTGGCCTCCATCTTGGAGCTAGGAACCACTGTTTCCGACGATCCCAATCAAGAGATTTGGTTGCTATGTGACACAAATGTTGCTCTTGTTTTCTAGGAGGGAGATTAAGTTTCTGGCAGGGCATCAACTCATCATTTTTCCTGTTCCAGTTACCATTCTGGTGCATCCACATTTTACACATTCAGATCATTCCAGTTTCATTTTGTAGGCCATGACTGAAGTGGAAAGAACCAGTTCAAAGCCCTGTATTATAGCCCTTCCCCTGATGTCTCGGTTCTGGCTTTTGGTGTGAGAAGAGTTTGATGATTGTTAGGGTGCTGAAAGGGAAAAGGAGAGAAGCCCGTTGTAACAGGCCCTTTGTATGTAGTCTGTTTTGGTTACCTCTTGTGCCTCTCTTAACAGACATGTATCACAAATGGGATGGCTTGAACAAACAGGAGTTTTATTCTCTTACAGATTTGGAGGCTAGAAGTCTGAGTTCAAAGTTCCAGGCTCTAGGGGCTGAGTGAAGGCCCCTAGACCTGGGGCTTCAGCTCTACCTCTTGCTCCTAGCCCACTGAAGCTGGAGGCTTTCTTCATTCAGGCAGCTGCTGGCTGCTGAGGCTGACAAACCCAAGGTTGAGAAGTAAAAAGGCATAGTCCCAATATGACCAAACCAAAGGGCAGGCCACTGATTCAAGTCCATTAACAGTCCCAAAATTGGCAGACAGCGTGGTAGGCTGCTGAATGATGAGTCAGCTACATGCGGGATTCAAGTGTGATGAAAGCTACAGACCATTGCATGCAGCCGTTTAGATGCAATGATGGGTCTCTCCTCGTGCAGAGGAAAGAAGACTGAAGAAAACCAAAAATTCATGGCAACAATTAGTCCAAGCAACTGATACACCAAGCAATCCTTAGCTTGTACGACTATGAAACCAGAAGAACTAGATGGTGCCTGGCTACCACTGTCACCCACTCGGAGGGGGATCTATGTAGGAGATCCTGGATAGAGAGGGAGAACAATGTGGACCAAAACTCAAAATCATTTAAAAAAAAAAGGGGGACCAGGTTTGCTGGTCTGATAGAGCCTGACGGAACCACTGAGACTATGGCCCCTAGCTGCCCTTCAGGTCTGGAATTGAACCCACTCTTGTGGCTCCCAGCCAAACAAAAGACAGGCATATGAAGTGAACATTTACACTAGGTAGGTACACTCCTTGGAGAGAACAATCACGGGAGAATAGAAGGGCTGCTTATGTACAGGAAGACAGCTGAGGGGGCAGGAGGGCATGGAGGGAAGGACACAGGGAAGACGTAACTATGGGGAGGAAGTGGGAGGGGAGCAGTTACATTGTGGGAAATTGTAGTCAATGTCATGAGATAAAGTGTATGTGAGCTGCTGTATGGGAAGTGAATCTGCTCTGTAAACCGTCACCCAAATCACAATTAAGAAAAAAAAAAGTAGACCAATCCCAAAGCTTCTCCTTATATACTGGAAGCAGACCCCATCCCTGAAGTAGCAACTCAGCTGCTTGTGGCAGATTCCACCATGGAGTTGATGGCCAGTCTCATCACGGGGAATTACTACAGTCAGCTGTCCAGCTACTCAAAACCTTAACTACCACACAGTCTTAGGTGATGTATGTAGAACACCAGAAAATAGGCCTCACCACCCCCATTTTGCAAATAAGGAAACTGAGGCTCACATTAAACTACACACCCAAAGTCAGGTTAGCGCAAATTCAGACCCTGCCTCCCTTCCTGACAAAAAATCCATTTTGTGCTAATTTTATTATTGCTGTTAAAGGAAAACTCCAGATTTCCCTGTCATTTCTGAGGGTGTCTTGCAGCCTCACTCCATATGAACATGTGTAGGTGCTGAGGAATAGAGAGGGGGACAATTCTAGCCTATTTTGAAGGGAAAATAAATCACACATCTCAACTCAGATGTCACACAGATAGCCTACATGCCGTAATGTTCCCTTTAAAAAGCAGACTGGGATGTTGTCCAGTGAAGGCAGCAAAGGAAAGGAAGCACACATCCTTTGAGAACACTGTGTTCTCTGGATGCTTCCGAATCCCACTTCCGATTTCGATATAGCATCTCTTTCTAGCCAATCACTAGCATTCTATAAGTATTCACATGTACCCCGAATCCCCCTTTACTCTGGGGTTCACTCAGCACTCAGGAAAGGAGCTGACATGCCTGTGTTCACGCTCATTTGGCTGGACAGCATGCTCTGAGGTGGGCACCCAGGCCAGGGGATGTTCTGAGATGGGAAGAGCAGCAAATGTGCACTTGAGGCCAGTGACCTGCAGGACGACTCCAAACATCATGGAAAGGCTGGACATATTTCCCAGTTACACCCTGTAAGCCTTGTTCAGTGTGTCCAGAAGGACAGATCCTTGGGGAATATCATGTTCCACAACATTCTGTGTTCTTAGCAACTGAAAGTTGACCCTGTACGTGCCATTTTAAAACTCTGGAATGAAATTCTTTCTGAGTTGTACACATCACTGGAACCTACATATTGAGTATAACCTCTCATTTATCATCTGGGATTATCATGTGTGTGCATGTACGTGTGCATGTGTGTGTGTGCGCACGCGTGTTTGGATATAGATATGTAGATACAGACGAGTGTCCTCTTAGAATGTAATGGTAATGGCACAAGTCCTGAACTTTGCCATACTCTCTTTGTAGTTAGAGATCATCTTGGAGTATTGTAATAATAATAGCACAAATCCTGTGTGCTTTACATACCTCAGTCCATTTCACTGGCGTAATACCTTATGAAGTCAAGGTTAACATCCCCGTTTTATAGATGAGGAAACTGAGGCATGGAGAGCCTGAGTAGTTGCCTCCTGTCTCAGCCCCGGGAACTGCTACCTTGGGGTTGGAGCCGGTCTGGGCAGCTCTGACAGCTGCACCCTACGTGGCCCCAGCTGCACGTGTCAGAGCTGTGGGGAGGTGGACAGCACGGACACCTGTCACATGGCTGGGCCTACCTTCTCTTACTCATGGGTTGACATGCTGGAGACCCAGGCAGCTATGATTTCCAGAGCTGGGCCTGTTTGGTGGGGGTGTCACTGTAAGCTTCTGAGCCTCATGCATTTGAGGAGAGTGGTCCGGAGGGGCAATTTATGGGGATGCATAAATTACAGAAGGAAATTGAGAGCAGCTCATTTCTTTTTTTTTTTTTTTTGTAGGACCTGATATCTGTGGATTTGATATCAAGAAAATTCATGTTATTTTATATTTCAAGAATCAGTATCATTCGAACAAGAAACCAATCAGATGTAAGGTAAACATTCTTGTACCCAAATCTGTGAGTGTGTTAACTCTCTTGCCCGATGGTAACCACATTTAGAGATGATAGTTATGGTCTTAAAGTATTTTCCCAAGCCAAAGCCAGCTCTGAGCGAACGTACCTCCAGCCCCGAGTTCCCAGTTAGCAGGTCCACTGTTGTTGTTGTTATGTGCCATCGAGTCAGACCCGACTCATAGCGACCCCTCCTTGGGTTTCCGAGGCAGTATCACTACGGAAGTAGATTGCCCAACCTTCCTTCCGAGGAGTGGCTTTTGAGTTTGAACTGCCAGCCTTTTGGTTAGCAGTCAAGTGCCTTAGGTACTATGCTACCAGAGCTCCTAGCAGGTCCACTAGAGAGACTTTTTGACTGACTGGTTTGTTCCCCCAAAAGCTCTGACCCTATCAGGAGGGCACACATTCCCTTACTATGAATATGTTATCAGACTGTCGTTGGGCCCCTAAAGGTTATGGTAGGACTCTCGTATTTCATCCATAGCCGTCATCACCAGCAATGGAACATTCAGGATGAAAAACGCATTCTGGAGAAATTAAGTCATCTTCAAAATACCCCAGCATTTCGGAAGGAGAGTATTTCTAAAGTGAACACGTATTGTCTCGCTCTCTTTCCCAGGTGACCTGAAAATAGTGCCATCTTCGTTTCTCAGGGCAGAGACAGGAGGTGACACTGCAAAAGCTGTGGGGACCCAGGCAGGAAGGTGCCAGGGACCTCCTTTGTGGACCCATGGTGCCCTCCAGGGCTGAGAGCCTGGATAGCAGGGAGTCACAGCCCAGGGTCGGCTTGTCCACATTGCCCAGAGAACATCACAGCCCCACGGCCCCTGGGGATGATTGTGTGCTGCCTATCTGAGCATGGCTTTGGGCCCTTTACACCTTGTTGGCACCACTGTGCTCAGCCAGAGCACCGCCAGCAGTCCTCATCAGCTCCGACTGAAAGGGCCAGGAACCTTTCCAGAGGCAAGACCCAGTCAGCCTCTAGAGCTCCTGAAGAGAGGCCTGAAGAATGTTAGAGACTTACATCTGATGTGCCTCGTGGCAGTGGTGGGGTGGGGAGCTGCTGGGGTGCAGAGCTTGGGGGAGGCCCAACCTGTGACCCAGAGGTGGACTGAGGTAGGGCCTGGGGTATATTTGACCTGTTTGCAAGAGATCTATGACAACGGAAGAGGGGAGCCAAAAGTGACCCTCCATGGCACTGTGATGAACCACACAGCCAGGCCATATCTGAACCGAAGCCTGCTTGGTCCTGCAGGACCTCCAGGGGCAGGCTGCCAGCAGGCTGTTGGAAACTCGGGCCAAGCCTCAGGCTGAGTGTTGGAACTGGAGGTGCTAGTGTTGGGCCGTTTGCAGCTGTGTGGACGTAGGAAATGGGGAGTGGTGGCAGTCACTCAGGAGGGTCTATCTTGATGACAGAATCATGGCAAGCCAGCATTTGGGGCTGGCAGTGAGTCAGGGGAGAGTGGAGAGGCAGATGTTCCTGTCACCATGGCTGCTGAGGCTGGGGACGAAGAGCTAACTGTAGTCTTGTTCCCAAACATCTGGTGTGGGCAGTAATGGCTGGTCAGAGCAGATGGCAGCGTGGGACAGAGAGGCCTGTGGGCTTGGCTCCCAGTGCAGGGCCTCACGGGGACAGAGAGCTTTAAGATGATGAGGCAGTGGTACTTTCTTCCTGAGCAGCATCAGGACCCTGTGGCTGCGGCCCAGGGTCCCCGTGGACAGAGCAGGCAGCCTGGGAGCGGGCATTTCTACAGCAGTGCCAGTGCTGCTGTGACCACTGGCCTAACACCGTGGAGAACCGTGGCAGGGGAAGCTGCAGGAGTCCACGCTGCTGCCAAGAGGCAGGCACCCCCTTAAGGTACATTTACTGAGTGCTTCCCTTGTAAGGAGCCCTGGTGGTACAGTGGTTAAGGGCTTGGCTACTGACTGAAACCACCTGGTTCTCAAGAGAAAGATGTGGCAGCCTGCTCCCGTGGAGACTGTAGCCTTGGAAACGCTATGGGCCAGTTCTCCTCTGTCCTAAAGGAGCACTGTGAGTATGACTGGACGGCAACGTGCTTGGTTTTTTTTGGTTCACTCCTTGTATGAGGCACAGGACCTCCCCTCACAGGGCTGGAATAGTTGGACAGCTCGGAGCATTAGAAAGTTCCTCCCTGTATTGAGAAACAGATGGATTGGAGAGTGAACTTTGTTTGGCATTTTCCAAAATATCAAATAAAGGTTGTTTTTTTTTTAATTTTTTATTGTGATTTGGGTGAAAGTTTACAGAGCAAATTGCTTTTCCATTGAATAATTCATGCACGTTTTGATTTGTGCCATTGATTGCAATCCGCATAGGGTCCCCACACTCTTTCCATTTCCTCCCTGTGTTTACCGTTTCCCTCCTCCTCCTCTCCTGCCCTTTCCTACCCTCTGAGACTTGTCCTTGGGCACATGCTGCCCTTTGATCTCGTATGGTTGCTTGTGCTGAGGAGTGTGCACCTCTCTGTGTTATTGTTCACCTCATAGGCCTGTCTCTTGCTTGGCTGAAAGTTGAGCCACAGAAGCAAGTTATTTTTTCCTATGGCTTCTCGTGAGTAAATAGCGCAGTTGACCCCTTAGTTCATACCAGCTGCCCCTCGTGATTTCCTGTGGGTTTTATAAATGGAAGCCACCATCTTTGTGCAAGGACAACCAGCTGTTCAAGAGAAGGCTGTTGATAAAGTGAGAGGTATTCTGCAAGAGGGCAATTACTCAGTGGTGGGTGGTGGTTGTTAGTCTTGTAGAGTGGGCTCCAACTCTACAAGTGTCGAACCGAGTAGAACAGAAACAAACAGCGCCTGCCTGTGCTCTTCACGGTCGTTGGTGTGTGTCAGCCCAGGGTTGCAGCTCCTGTGTCAGTCCCTCTCATGGAGGGTTTCCCTCATTTTTGCTGACCCTCTACTTTACCATGATGTCCTTTTTTTAGCAATTAGCCTTTCCTGATAACGTGTCTGCAGTAAGGGAATCAATGTCTTCATAGGACTTTATGTTATAGGCAGATAGCCTCATCCTCCCAGAGTCTGACTCCTTGCCGTTTCTAACAAGGCTGTGGCTGATGAACACGTCAACTGAGACCTGGGCAGAAGCATCCAGAGATTTCAGCATTCCCCTCTATCCCCTGGAATTTACAGGTCGATGCCTTTACACACCTCTACACTCTGATTTTAAGACCAGATCTGACTTATGATGTGAAAGTTGATGGCCAATCCATTGAGTCAGGAAGCATCGAGTATGATTGGAATCTCACATCCCTGAAGAAAATGGAAAACTCTCCAGCAGAATCTAAGGACTGGGATCAGGCTGAAGACAGCAAAGCTCAGGTTTGGAATTTTCCTGAAATCTATAAACCAAACCCGTTGTCATTGAGTCGACCCTGACCCGTGATGCCCCCATGTGTGTCAGAGTAGAGCTGTGCTCCTTGGGGTTGTCAATGGCTGATCATTTGGAAGTGGGGCACCAAGGCCTTTCTTCCCAGGCACCTGTGGGTGGACTCGAACCTCCATGCTTTTGGTTAGCAGCCTGGTGTGTTAACCGTTTGCGCCCATTCCTAAATAACTACAGAAAAGTATGAAAGTACACTCTGTGACTTCCCAGCTACCATTGCTATGTGAGGGGTAACTGTGTTGATAATGTTGTAATCATCCACGGTCCTCCCCACAAGCATATGCCACAACTACCAGCCGCAGAGTCTGCACATTTCAACATATCATGGAAGAGTTTTAGAATACATGAGATAAAAGCAACTAGGGCTTGTTTTATTTTATTTTTACATCAGCAACTTGTTTAAAAATGAGTTTTCATTATTTTGCATTTAAAAGTGAAGTATTTTCTGAGTATCATACTTGTAACTGACAGCCAAGCATTAGTTAACATAACTGCTGTGGATGAATTTTTGAGGGGTGTTATAGCAAATTATCACAATCTGGGGTGACTTATAACCATAGGAATATATTCTCACAGGTCTAGAGGCATCAGCAGGGTGGCCACTTCTCTGGAGGCTGTAATGAGGACGTCTCTCCCAGCTTCTCGTGGCTCCAGGTGCTCCTGGGCTTAGCTATGTTATGTCAGTCCCTCCCTTCATCGTCACATGGTGGTCGTTCCTGTATCTTCTCTTCTGTCTCCTATAAAGACACTTGTCATTGAATTTAAGGACCACCTGGATAATCTAGGATGATCTCACCTTGAGTCCTGCCTTATCTCCTGGTGCTGCTATAACAGAACCACCACAAGTGGGGGCTTTAATGAACATGAATGTATTTTCTCACAGTGCAGGAGGCTAGAGGTCTGAATTTAGGGCTCTGGAGGCAGATCCTTGTCTCAGCTTCTCCAGCCTGGTGTTCCTGAGTTCCTTGGTGATGTTCATGTGGCATCTGTCTTCCTTCTGTTGGTGCTCACTTGTCTCTGTGCCTAACCTGCTGTTTTTATATCTCAAAAGGGATTGGCTAAGACATACCCTATAGCAGTGTGGTCTCATTAACAAAGAAAATCCTATTCCCAATCGGGATCACAGCCACAGGTACCAAAAAAAAAAAAAAAAAAAAACCCAAAAAATGTACTGCCATGCAATCAGATCTGAATCATAGCGACCCCTCCTTGGGTTTCCAAGGTGGTATCATTACAGAAGTAGATTGCCCAATCTTCCATCTGAGGAGTGGCTGGTGGGTTTGAACCACCAGCCTTCTGGTTACCAGTCAAATGCCTTAGGCACTATGCCACCAGAGCTCCTAGCCACAGGTACAGCGGTTGGGGTTTACAGTACATGCATTTGGGGGACTCAGTTTAGTCCGTAACAAGATGATTCACTGAATCACACCTGCACAGACCCTTTTTCCAAATAAGGTTCCTTTCACAGGTGACAGGATGGGGCTATATCTTTTTGGGAGCACAGTTTCACCTACCACAAGCTACCATAATATTCCTCCAGCCACTCCCTGAGGCCATATTGTTGTTATGTGCCATCGAGTCGGATCTGACTCATAGCGACCCCTCCTTGGGTTTCCAAGGCGGTATCACTATGGAAGTAGATTGCCCAACCTTCCTTCCGAGGAGTGGCTGGTGGGTTTGAACCGCCTGCCAGCCTTTGGTTAGCAATCAGGTGCCTTAGGCACTATGCTACCATATGTTGTTGTTGTTGTTGTTATGTGCTATCGAGTCAGACCCAACTCATAGCAACCCCTCCTTGGGTTTCCGAGGCAGTATCACTACGGAAGTAGATTGCCCCATCTTCCTCCCGAGGAGTGGCTGGTGGGTTTGAACCGCCAGGCTTCTGATAAGCAGTCAAGTGCTTCAGGCACTATACTGCCAGATTTCCTTGCTACCATATGGTACACCCTAAATGGGGAACCAAGGCTCAGAAGGCAGAGGAACTCTGGAGATGTAGGGTGGTCCTTAGGCAATGAGCCCTGTCCTGAAATCCTGTAGCATCAGGGCTCCACTGAAGCTGCCCCTGGATCCGGTGAGCAGTGTCAAGCCGGTAAGCAGTGAGGGGAGGGCGAGCAATGCAGAGAGGGTGAGCAGTGCCGGGGTGTGAGGGTCGTTGAGCAGTCCTTCCAAAAGTCTATCCTAAACAGGTTCATTTTTGTCCATATATCTAGTGCTGGGTGAAGTTGTCATAGAAATGAATTTGGAATTATGCATTGAGAACCATAATATGACCAAAGTATGTGAGACAAAGTCTTGCCATCCTCACTTCTAAGGAGCTTTCTGGTTGTACTTCTTCCAATATATATGTATTCATTCTTCTGGTAGTCATGGTATTTTTAGTATTCTTAGCCAACACCACCAATGGATTTGCATTATGGTATTGGTGAAGTAGATGTATATATGTATATATATGTATGTGTATATATAATATAAATACATATATATGTATACACATGTATACATATAAATATATAAGTGTATATATATATGTGTATGTGTGTATATATATATATATATATATATATATATACACACACACACACACATATATATGTATACACACATACATCCAATTCATTGTTGTCGAATTCTTCCTACTCATAGCGACCACTCTTTGGAAAGTTTCTGAAGCTGTATCTCTTTGGCAGCAGATTGCCCAATCTTCCTTATATATATGCACATGTAGGAGCCCATGAGTAGAGTAAACAGTTAAGGCACTTGGCTGCTACCCAAAAGGTTGGCAGTTTGAGCCTACCTTGGGGTGCCTCAGAAGAAAGACCTGGTGATCCAGAACAATCAGCCATTGGAAACCCCGTGGAGCACAATTCTACCTTGACACACATGGAGTTGCATTGACTTAACAACTGATTAATATATATGTGTATCTTTATATACATGTGTACATACACAATCATATACATGCATGTGCATACATACACATGCACACATACATATGCACACATCACTCATTAATGTAACTGCTTTTTGCCTGATACCCAACAATCTCCATAAATCTTAGAGCATTTGTTAGTTGTCCCGCCTCTCTGGAACAGTGGTCAGCAACCATGGCATAGAGGACATAGGTGATAAGATCTAAGCAGCGGTAGCTCCTTCCCCCATCATCCCCCATCGTCTGACATTAGCCATTGTTTTGTGTTGTCCATGCTGCTGTTCCTCTCAACAGCATGGAGGAAACAATTGCTGAAGTTATGCAAGAGGGTACAGAGAAAAACCCAGCCATGTGTTGCCTGAAAGGGAGCCCTGGTGGTGCAGTGGTTAAAGTGCTCGGCTGCTAACCACAGACGTTGGTGGTTTGAACCCACCAGCCACTACACGGGAGAAAGATGAGGCAGTCTGCTTCTACAAAGATTGTTGTTGTGTGCCATCGAGTTGACCCTGACTCATAGCGACCCCTCCTTGGGTTTCCAAGGCAGTATCACTATGGAAGTAGATTGCCCAACCTTCCTCCCAAGGAGTGGCTGGTGGGTCTATAAAGATTACAGCCTAGGAAACCCTGGAGGGCAATATATTATTATTTTTTTTTTTTTTTAGTGTTGCCTGAAGCTTTTACTGGGATTGGAAACCCTGAGCACTTGGCCACCACATTGGAAATGAGAGGGGGAAATTGCAGGGGAGCCACAACCTGCCTTAGCCCCTGTCTCCTTATGCCTAAGGATTCATTTTCTCATGTGATCACCCGACTGAGTTTTGGATTTGTGTTCAGGACTGGGAGAAACATTTTCTGGATGCAAGCGCCAGCAAGCCAAGTGACTGGAACAGTGAGCTGGATGGCGACTGGCCAGGGCCAATGCTCCAGAAGCCTCTGTACCAGGTACGGGCTCCCCTGTGTCCTGGGACCTGGGATGTCCTTGCATTGCCCTCACTTTCCTTCATATCATGCCAGCCACCATGCATTGTTTGTTGCAGGATGGCCTGAAACCAGAGGGGATTGACAAAGACATGTGGCTCCATCAGAAGATGAGAAGCACCAGCTACCTGACTGAGTATGACCTCTCGGAATTTGAGAATATCGGTGCTATTGGACTGGAGCTTTGGCAGGTCATTGGCTTTTACGTTTGCCTTCATTAAAAACTCTGAACTTCACCATGTTGTTGTGTTAGTTGACATCTAGTCAAGCTGGAGTCATGGTGACTCCATGTGTTTGAGAGTAGAACTGATCAGAGGATTGTCTTGGCTATAATCTTTTTCTTTTTTTAAAATTTTCATTTTGATTTGGGTGAAAGTCAAATTCATTTTCCGTACAGCAGTTCATACACATTTTGTTTTGTGACATTGACTGCGATTGCCCAGAATGTAGCAGCTGTCTTCCCTCTTCCTCCCTGTAGTTACCTCTTCCCTGTGTCCTTCTTTCCTGTGTATTCCTGCCCTCTTGGCTATAATCATCATGGAAGCCAACTGCCAGCCTTTTCTTCCATAGTGCCACTGGATGGGTTCAAACCACCAACCTTTAGGTTAGTAGTCAAGCACAAACTGTTTGCGCCACCCAGGAAGCTCATTGTTGTTGTTGTTGTTATGTGCCATCGAGTTCCTTAGGTTTCCAAGGCGATATCACTGTGGAAGTAGATTGCCCAACCTTTCTTCTGAGGAGTAGCTAGTGGTTTTGAACCTCCAGCCTTCTGGTTAGCAGTCAAGTGCCTTAGGCACTATGCTACCAGAGCTCCCCCCAAGGAAGCTGATAGCCATAAAAACCAAAGCTGTTGCTGCTGAGTTGATTGCAGCTCATGTTGTTATTTTGTTGTTAGCTGCCTCAAGTCACTTCCAACTCATAGCAACCCTGTGTACAGCCGAACAAACCACCACCCAGTCCTGAGCCACCCTCACAATCAGTGCTATGCTTGAGGCACTGTGTCAATCCCTCTTGTTGACTGACCTCTTTTTCACTGACCCTCTACTTTACCAAGCATGATGTCCTTCTCCATCCTATACAACAGGGTAGAAATTCCCCCATAGAGTTTCCAAGCCTGTAATCTTTATTTATTTTTTTAAATCTTATACTGCTGTTAGCTTTTTTTTTTTTCCACTTTTTTTTCCCCAAACCCTAACCCAGTCTCCTCCCCTCCCTGCCCAGTTACCCTCCCCCTGTGCCCCTCATAGTTATGCCCTCCTGTGTGTCCTGCATTTCCTCCGTGCGAATGTTGCCCCTCTGGTGGCCCATGGTCGATTGCTCCAAGGAATACATTTCTATAGAGAATGAGTGCATCACCCTGGGTTGAGTAGTCTGCATGTACATCTTGTTTACGATTGGGCTGAGAGCTATCCCTGGGAGTGAGCTTTATTCCAGGCCCAGAATGTATCCCAGGGCCATAGTATTGGGGGTCTCACCAGACTCCATCAGACCAGTATTTCTGGTCATTATGGATTTTTTGGATTTTTTTCTACGTTTTTCCTCCCACTCTGTCCGGGATCTCCAGATTTGATCCTTTCCTTAGTGGTTGGCACGGATAGCCGGGCACCATCTAGTTCTTCTGGTCTCGAGGGCCTTCGTGTTCTAGGGCTGATTGCTTCCAAATGCCCTTGTTTTTTTTGCACTCTTCTTCACTTCCGACGATATTTTTTCCGATGATTATTTATTTTTTAAAATTTTATATTGCTGTTAGCTTTTAATAATAACAGTATTCACACTTAGTATTTTTTTTTAACTTTGTTTTCATTCAAGTTAATATATATCTACTTTCTAGTTGGTGGTTTACCCTCCCTTTCCCACCCACCCCTGGTAACCATCAGAGAATGTTTCCTTTTTTGTGAAGCCCTTTTCTTGGCTTTTTACCATAGTGGTCTCATGCAATATGTGTCCTTTTGTGATTAACTAATTTCACTCAATAGAGGTTATGTTCATCCAAGCTATGAGATGTTTTGCAGATTCACCATTGTTCTTTAACGTTGTGTAGTAGTCTATCATGTGTATGTACCATAGTTTGTTGATCCATTCCTCCAGTGATGGCCATTTAGGTTGTTTCCATCTTTTTGCTTTTGTGAATAGGAGCTCTGGTGGCATAGTGCCTAAGGTATTTGATTGCTAACCAGAAGGCTGGCAGTTCAAACCCAGCAGCCATTCCTTGGAAGGAAGACTGGGCAATCTGCTTCTGTAGGGTTACTGCCTCAGAAGCCCAAGGAGGGGTTGCTAGGAGTCGGAATCTTGCTTTTGTGAATAGTCCAAGGCTATAATCTTTTTGGAAGCAAACTACCACATCTTTCTCCCATGGAGAGGCTGGTTGGTTTGAACTGCTGACCTTTTGGTTATCAGCTGAGCATTTTAACTGTTGTACCACCTGGTTTTCCCTCAGGGACTTTATTCTTTTAATTCAAAACACTACTCTTCAGTGAGCACCTGCTATGTGCCAGGACCTGGTACCCAGATCCTAGATACAGCTGTAGGCGCAAGTGATACAAGTTCTGCCTTTTTGGGGTTGCCTTCCCCAAAGTCTCACCCACTGGGAATATGCTTTCCACTGTGCTGCTGGCATGTTGGCCCTCTGCTCAGAGCTGATCTGAGGTGCATATCAACTCCAGGATAAGATGGCAGGGTCTGGTGCAGGTAGTCTGGGATGGGGCCTGGGGTTCTGCCCTCCTAGCAACCTTCCAACGATGATGCTCCTGCTGGTCTGTGTCCCACGCCTTGTGCAGGAAGCTTCCAGAGCAGTGGTCCTGTAACATAGCTTCGATGTCCAGGCTGTGCCCTGGACTGATCACTCAGCATCTCAGGGGTGGGACAGGCACCTGCAGATTCTGTAAATGCTCTTGGTAACCCTGGTTTGCAGCCAAGCTTGAGAACCAGTGCCTGGAGGGAATGGGAGGCCTAGAAGTGTGTGTAAGCACATAGGATGAAGACTAATGCTGCCACTTTACTGAGCACATCACAGTTACTTTTCTGTGGAAAGGGGTCTTGTATCTTGCATAAGTGATGAAGCCCCTGATTTCATCTGCAGGTGCGATCCGGAACCATCTTTGATAACTTCCTGATCACCGATGACGAAGAATATGCTGAGAATTTTGGGAAGGCCACCTGGGGTGAAACCAAGGTGTGGTGTTCAACATGTACATGCAATTCACTTTCTTTTATCATGTATTTTGTCATCTCTTTATATATTGTTATTGGACTTTAATATTTGTGCCTCCAGGGACTCCTGGGGAGTCCCATAAACAGTTAAGCACTTGACTATTAACCAAAAGGTTGGAGGTTTGAACCCACCCAGAGGTACCTTATAAAGACCTGGCAATCTACTTCCAAAAGGTCACAGTCTGAAAACCCCACGGAGCAGTTCTGTTCTGTGCACACACGAGCCTCATGAGTCAGGTTTGACGCAATTGCAACTAACAACAGCAGCAATATGTAGGAAGGGGCTTGGTGAATTTTTACCAATAAATACCTACAGGTGCCTTGGAAGAAAGTCCTGGTGATCTGTTTCCAAAAGATCACATCCTTGAGAACTCTACACAGCACAGTTCTACTCCGGGACACTGGGTTGCCAAGAGTTGGAACTGACTAGATGGCAACTGACAACAGCAGCATTAAGGAGAGGGCTTGGTGATTCTCACCAAAGAATAATACACAGACGCATTTCCAAAGAAAGACCTGGTGATCTGCTTCTGCAAAATGCACCATCGAAAACCCTGTGAAGCACAGTTCTACTCTGACACACAGGCCTCTGAGTTGGAGTCAACATGACAGCAACTGGCTTTTTTTTTTTTAAATTACATTGAAGGCTCACCCAGAAAATTCAAGATCAGCTTCCCATGCTACGATCTTCACTTCATCCCACCTGCAAACACTCTTTTTCCATATAAGCCACACCCACAGGTTATAGGGAGTAGGACCCAGAATCCCTGGGGGACATGATACAGTTGCCAACAGGGAGGGTGGAGCGGCCGTAGGCTGGTGACCCAGGCCGGCCGGCCGGTGGGGCTGGGTGTCTTCCTGCAGGGCCCGGAGCGGGAGATGGATGCCATCCAGGCCAAGGAGGAGATCAGAAGGGCCCAAGAAGAGGAAGAGCAGGAGATGCTGGCCGGAAAGTTTGATACGCGGCAAGATTTCTTCAATCGTTTCCACAAGCGAGGCGAATTGTAGTCATGCAGCGATCAGTAAAGGTACCTGGTGACACCTCATTTCTGTTTTCATTTAATTTTAAAGCTCCGTTTGTCTGTTTTTCTCTGAAACACGTTTGCTCCTGTGTGCGCATCTCAGTGGGGTTGGTGACATGTCCCCTGATGACCCCTCTGTGCCAGATGTGTCCTCTCAACCAGGACGCATGCTGGAGCCCACAGCCTGCAGGGGCCTGGTCAGAAATGCAGCGTTCTTTTCGTAACCATGCAGACATTTTTATGAAATAAAAGTTGGTAAAACTTTTTACTTGACAAAGGAGTATGACACTTGATTTGTTCAGGTGTGTGGTCATAGACAGACCTTTCCCCAGGTAGAGTGTGCTGCTGGCCATCTCTGGCATCAGTGGTTTTTTTTTTTTTTTTTTTTTCATTTTTTTATTGTGATTTGGGTGAAGGTTTACAGCACAAATCAGTTTTCCATTCAGCAGTTCACACACATTTTGTTTCACATCATTGATTGCAACCCCCTCAATGTAACAGCACCCCTCCTGCTTCCTCCCTGTGTTCCTTTTCCATCTTAGAAGGACTCTTAAATACAGGAAACTTAAGTCTCTATCTTTATTTATTTAATGTATTTTTGTTGAGTCTCTATTTATTAAGTGCAACATATGATAAGAATACATACCATTTCTAAATCATAGTTATTTACGCACAAGTTCCAGTTCTGACCACTGTTTGTCCTGAGAGGCAAAATTCTAACTTCCATCCTATTCTTTTTTAAATATCGACTTGGGTGAACGTTTACAAAACAATTTCATTTTACATTCAACAGTTGGTACACCTTTTGTTTTGTGACATTGATTGCAATCCCCACAATGTAGCAGCTTTCTTTCCACTTCCTCCCTGTGTTTACCTTTTCCTGTGTCCTTTCCTATGCATTCCTGCCCTCTGAGCTATCTCCGTGCCCAACTACTGCCCTTCTGATATCCCATGGTTGATTGTTCTAAGGAGTGTACATACCTGGTGTAATTGTTCACCTCGTAGGCCTGTCTGATGTTTGGCTGGAATTTAAGTCTGGTATCCCAGGTTTTGTGCACTCCATTTGCTCCTCAACTCTTAGGAAATGGGGGTGCTGGACAGACTCACTTGAGGTGAGAGAGAGAAGCTGATGCGTTTTCACTTTGGGATGAACTTCTGTGGCCATTAGTGTCTGTAACATGTTAGCTGCCATCAAATTGGCCCTGACTGCCCCACGCATAATGGCACTAAATGCCACCTGGTCCTGCACCATCTTCATGATCGTTGATCCGCTCGTCCCTTGTTGCAGCCATTGTGTACTTTAAGTGCCTGCCAACCCAGGGGGCTCATCTTCCAGCACTTTATCAGACAGTGTTCTATTGTGATCCCCATAGGGTTTCCCATTGGCAGACTTTTGGAAATTGATTGCCAGGCCTTTCTTCCTAGTCCATGTTGGTCTGGACCATTGAAACCAGTTCAGCATCATAGTGACATGCAAGTCTCCAGTGAGAGGTGATAGCTGTGCATGAGGTGCATTGGCTAGGAATCCATCCCAGTTCTCCTGAAGGGGAAACGTCTACCACCGAACCCCCACTGCCGTTCCTGCTCCTATACGGGTGGTTCCAAAGTCGGGCCCTGGCAGCGTTAAAGCATAATGAAGACTACAAATCACCTCATAACACAGATGGATTTGGAGCACATTATGCTGAGTGAAATAAGTCAGTCGCAGAAGGACAAATAGTGTCTGAGTCCATTACTGTAAAAAGTCAAGGAAAGGTTTATGCAGGGAAGGAAAGTTACTTTGTTTACTGGGGATGGGAGGGCAGGGGAAGGAAAATTTCTGACTAGTTAAAAGTCATGTGTTGATTCAGGTGAAGGGAAAGGCAATATAACAAAAGTGTGTAACCAGCACAATGATGGTAGGGAAAAGGAGGACACAGAAATGTATACAAAAGCTATAGACAACAGAGGCAAATACTGTTACATGCACAGTACTGCATTACCAGTGGCAGCCAACACTAGGCTATGAGTGAGAAGATCAGGTATAGGTAGGCAAACAGGAATGTACCCAAGACCAAGGATAGATTTGGCTGAAGATAGTCTTTTGTAGCACTTGTGCTACAAAAATACCCATATACAGTACAGAAGTGACAGGGGATGAGGTTGGAGTAGCTTCTTAGAGACTATCAAACACCTTGAGGGAGAGAGTCACTGGGCCTGTGGGCTCAAGACCATAGTCTCAGGGGACACTGTGCTTAATTGGCACAACATAGAACATAAAAATCTTGTTTTACATCCTCCTTTGGTGAGTAGCGACTGGGGTCTTAAAAGCTATAGAGCAGCCATCTGAGATGGACCTATTGGTCTCTCTTCATCTGGAGCAAAGTAGAGTAAAGAAAATCAAAGTCATTTGGAAACAATAAGCCCACGGATATGATGGACTACAGAGACCTCAGCCTTCATGACCCTGAGACAGAAGAATTAGATGGTGCCTGGCTACCAATGCCAACCACTCAGAAAGGGATCAAAATTGGAGATCCCGGATAGAGTGGGAGGAAAAATATGGAACATAATTAAAAAACACCAGAATTACTGGTCGGATAGAGGCTGGTAGAACCTGAGACTGTGGCCCTGGGTTATCCTTCTGGCCTGGAACTGGACTCACTTCCATGGATTACTTCTCAGCCAAATAGTAGAAAGACCTACAAGCAGAACACCTACCCTAGGGAGATGCATCCACCTACTCTAGGGATGTAGGAGCTCTGGTAGTATAGTGGCTAAGGCACTTGACTGCTAACCAGAAGGCTGGCGGTTCAAACCCACCAGCCACTCCTCGGAAGGAAGATGGGGCAATCTACTTCCGTAGTGATACTGCCTCGGAAACCCAAGGAGGGGTCGCTATGAGTCAGGGCCTACTCGAAGGCACATAACAACAACAACTCTAGGGATGTACCCCTAGATCAATTAGCCATGAGACATCAGAAAGGCAGCATTTGCATAGAGAGAAAGCTAGACAGACAGGAATGCATAGATAAGGAGAGATGGGAGAAGAGCTTTTTATGGTTGGAGATTGTAATTGGGGCCATGAAACCAAATGTGCATGAACTGTTGTGTGTAAAGCAAATTTGTTTTGTAAATTTGCACCCACATCACAGTAAAAAAAAATTAAAAAGTAGGGCTCTGGGACCAGCAGTATCAACACCATTTGGGAATTTACTAATGTGGAATGTTGGGCCCTACCCAGACCTGTTGAGCCAGAATGAGAGCCTGGGATGTGCTGAGCAAGCCCTCAGGTGGATCTGATATAGGGTGGGCTGGAGACCCTGCTCAAGACCTTGAACTAGGGGTGGAGAATGTCCAACTGGCCTACACTGGAGCACCTGTGACAAAGTGTGGCACCCTACAGCATGCGACAAGTAAATCACAACACCCATCTGAAGAACATAGGGCCTGTAAGTGGCTGGAAGTGGAGCAGCAGACAGTACTACAGACTCAGGGTGGCCCCGACTCACTGGAGCCATCTGAGACAGGTAATGCAAGGCTGGCCCTTCCTGGGAAAACTCACCCAACCTGCCTTGCTCACTCGATGTGGAAGTAGCTCGACGTGGGTGCCCCATAAGTGAGTGTGTGACAGCAATGGACAGCAGTGCATGTACACACACAGACACTCCTGGTGGCCTTGTCCCCTGTGACTGTCCTCCAGCAGGTGGTCCTGGTGCCATGTAGGGCTTGTTGATGTGACCGCTGCAAACACACATCATTCACCCTCCCCTCTTTTCACAAGTGTGAACTGGGGTGGAGAGAGTCTGGTTAAGTGACCTCCTAGGTCATGTTGCTAGAAAGTGGTGGCTGGGAGTCGCCCTGGGCTTGGTGGCTATGGCTGCAGCACAGAGAGGTGATGCCACTGCTGAGCTAGCTGGTCCGAAGCCCTGGGGGCAGATCCAGAAGTTGGACACACAAACACACCCACTCACACTAACAGCCTGTTGTGCTGGGAGCTGTGGGTAATAGCCTCCCCAGAGAGCTGAGGGCCTCCCTACAGAAGTCACACCCTCCCACAGAGCTGACACCCTCCCTGTAGAGGTGACACCCTCCCCATAGACCTGACCGCTTTTCCACAGAGTTGACAGCCTCCCCACAAAGGTGACAGCCTCCTACGCTAGAGGTGACACCTTTCCCACAGAGGTGATACCCTCCCTACAAAAGCGAAAAGTTGGCTTTAGGCCTTCGACCCGGCCCATTTCTTGGGGCTCGTTCGCGCGTGCTCGGCTCCGCCCCCTCCAGGGTCTGGTTGCGCGCGCACCGCCCCTCATGCCAGTGCGCGTGCTCGGCCCCGCCCCCAGCCCCCGGCGCTCGGAGCTGGAGTCCGCGGAAAGATGGCGGCGCCGCTCATCCCCCTCGCCCAGCAGGTAGGAGCCGGGAGGGCCGGGCCAAGGCAAGGGTGGCCGTGAGGAGGCCGGGCGCGCAGGGCAGCGAGGGCCCTGCCCGGGTGGCGACGGCTCGCACAGGAGGATTCCCCGAGGGTAGGCGGCCCTGAAGGTGACAGTCCTGTGGGCCCTCCGGGTCAACCCTCTGGGCGGCGACGAGGCGGGTAGGCGCAAATCTGTCCGGGTCGGCAGTCATGGAGCTCCGAGCTCTCCCGAGGAAGTGCCAGGGAGCGCCCGTCTTCACCCGACTGCATCCCCTCGAGCCTTTGTTTCCCGCTTGTCCGGCGCCGGGAGGACGGCGTCTCCGGGGAGCACAGGTGTATGGCAAGGCCGGTGGAGGTAGGACCCGCTGCCTCAACCGGCATCCCTCCACCCCCTGGGAGCTTCTTCCGTCGCCCAGGACCGTGTGAGAGGGTATCAGCGCTCTTCTGCTTCCTTATCTTCTCCTGATGCGCTTACCAAGGGGCGGTATCGGTGGCACGACCCAGATGTGCTAGCAGGAGCTGTGCGCAGGCCGCCCCGCCTTTTGGGACAGACGTCCATTCATTCATTCACCCTTCAAATGTGTGTTTGGAACGCG